TTACACACCCACACCCACCTCAGGACCACCGTACTTACACACCCACACGCACCCCAGGGCCACTGTACTTACACACCCACACCCACCCCAGGGCCACTGTACTTATCTGTACTTACCCCTTACTCCCCCTGAAATCCACAAGGCCACTCCCTCTCTGTCTTCGGAGGTTCGCGCAAAGTCTCCCTGTCAATACAAGACAGCTCACCTCCAAACAGCCCCTGTCTCTCTGCTCTCCCTGCCCAGTACATCGCAACTTAGGCTGTTAGACTGTTACTCTATCAGGTGTCTCCCTATCGCCCTCTTAAGAGTGGCAGGGACCTGCTTTGTTTAGACAGCTTCTAACGCAAAGTAAGTGCTTTGAAAACATTTGTGGAAGGGGCCAGCAGGTGGCATGGAGACCAAGGTGCTGGATCCCACATGGCTGACTGCATGGTTTGAGCCCCAGACCCAATGGCTTTAAAAGCACACCAGGCGCGTGTGTGTGCATGCTCAACATCCGGAGAGGGAACTGGAGAAGGGATTGCAGCATGGCCGTCCTCCTGGAGGGTGGTTTCTCACTTTTCCTCTCTCTCTCTCTGTCTCTTTCTCTCAGGAGCACACATGCCCCATAGCAAAATGCTTTAAAAATTTTTTTGTTGTTGAATAAATGTTCATGTAAGTGATAAAATTCTCAAAGAGTTCATAATGAGAAAAAGGCACATACACAGATTAACGACAATCGAACACTGATGCCTTTGTCTATAACAAAAATACAAAGTGCCGTTGGAATTCAGAAGATAGGGCGAAGAACTCAGCAAAGAGAAAGAGGAAGGGTTTGCAAAGATGAGCAAAGTTGACTTAGATCCTAAAAGGTATTTGGGAGGTTTCTGGGGAAAAGGGAAGAGGCATCCAATATGCATAGTGTGTGTGTGGGGGGGTGGAACTGTCTGGAATGCTGGGATGGGGGGTGAGTGGCAGAAGTGAAGCTGGAGGAGCTCCTGGGACAAAACTGGAGGGACCTCTGTCCTCACACCTGTCCTCATGCCTATGGTCCATCTCAGCCAGAAATACTGCCCTCCCCTTCCCCAACCTATCACACGCCCACTTGGTCTCACTGTGTCCAACCCTTCACCCTCTGCAGCCACCCGCCTTCTCCCAAACTGCCCCCAGGGATAGCTCCTGAAAATCAGACCTGGTCACATCATTCCTTGCTTAAAATCTAACTTATTCTTTGTTGCCATGGAGCCAAAAATCAAACTCCATATCTTGAATCCAAGGCTTTTTAAAAATAGGCTAATAATGAGATCTTCCCTTTTCAAGCTGTGGTTACTTTACTACTGTCTAGAAAGGGAGTGCTGCCATTCAGTGTGAATCTGAGACTTATTTGGATTGCCTGGTCGGAGCTGGTCAACGGTCTTAAACACCTGGGAGACTCCATCTTTACCTCGGCCCGCTCTTCACAGACAGCTGCAGACATAATCCCGCAAAGGGTCATTCCAAGTGAAGAGAAATTTGGTTTGTTTGGCTTTTGCTGGTAGTTATATAGCTGTATCTATATATAGATAAAGTTTTGATTTGGCCTCTCATTAATGAATGAGTCTCTACAACAGCGGTTGTTTTTTTCTTTTTTGTTATAGGGCACATGTGCTCGCCAGAGAGACAGAGACAGAAAGCGAGAATCTCCCCCAGGGTGTATGGCCATGCCGCAATCCCTTCTCCTCCATTCTCCTCTCAGGATCTTGGGCATGTATACACACATATCCCGTGTGAGTTTTAAGTTGCCGGGTCCAGGACTCGAACCATCGTTGACTACATGGGAGTCCAATGATGTAACCATTATGCCACTGTTGGTCCCCCAACTGTGGTTCTTAAATTGCACCATGTACCAGAATCCCTAGAGAGCTTGTTCAAACACAGATTGCTGACCCCCCTCCCAGAGTCTGGGGTAGGGCTTAGGGATTTTGCATTTCTAATGAGCTCCAAGAGGATGCCCAGCTGCTCTGCTGGCAGGGAGCACACTTGCAGAATCCCAGCTGTCACAGCTGTAGACATGGCCCAGCACGATTATTTCTGACCTCATTTTATGAATCCATTGGGAGAGAAATTCAGCTAAGAAAGTCAGAGCACAGAGGTTTTAGGAAGTGGCAGATCCCACTCTCTGGAGCAATCGCACGGGCAGATACCAAGATGGTGGCAACCAAACCCTGTGGCTCCCTGTGAGCGCCAGCTCAGCACCGTCCTGAGGTGTGGCGAAGACCCAGCGAGGGACGCTTCCTTGGCCACGCCAGCTCTGCCTGAGACTGACCCAGCCCGCAGACCCCTCTCCTCTCAAATTCTACACGGTGCCCACACCAGACGCTCGCAGTAAACACTTCTGCCCCACCCAACCCAAATACTCGTGGGGTTCCGCACGATTGAAAAGCACTTTCCAAATATGTTTCTTGCCATATTCTTATCTTGAATTTTCGATAGTATTTATTTCAAAGAGAAACTAATTGCGTATGTGTTCTAATTTTTGACATCAGACTAAACATTATACAGAAATAATTCAGAATTCAGAAACCCCTAGTGTTTTCATCCTTGAGAAATAAAACAGGTATGTTAAGTTGATGGCACCAAGTTACACCCTGAGTCAGTGGGCGTGGAGAGGAACTACTTGGATCTTTTTTTTTTTTTTTTGAGAGTTATTTTGCTATCGGGCATGTGCACTTGCTAAAGAAACAGAGAGCGAGAGGGAGAGAGAGAGAAAAGCGAGAAGTCACCCCCCAGAAGGGGTGTGGCCACTCTGTGATCCCCGCTCCTCCATTCTCCTCTCAAGATCTTGGGCACTCATATACATGTGCCCGGTGTAAGTTTTAAACCACCAGGTCCGGGATTCGAACAGCGGTCGACTATGTAGGAGTCCAGCGACAGAACCATTACGTCATCTGCTGGTCCCAGTACTTGGTGCTCTTAAGAATTACTTCCTGTCCCTGAAATTGGACAGTTGCTCAATCGTAGTTCCTTCACTTCCTTGAAAAAATTATAGAAAGAAATGAAGAATGTTAAGAGCTCAAAGATAGAGAAATTTTAAAGCATGTCTAATAATTACTTCAGTTCAGAGTACAGCAGTAAACACAAGGGCCAATGTTATTTTCTGGAAAACCAAGTTACATGGTAAGAGTTGTTAAAAATTAGACCGTGGTTTGACCAGGCAGCGCAGCAGCAGTGCTCTGTTTAAGTGATGCTGGAGCCACACGGAAGGGCACGGGTTTGGTTCCCAGTGGACCTGTCCATGGTGGGCACACATGTACACGGTTCTGGTCGGCTGTAAAGGCTGGGGGGACAGTGTGGGACGGTGTGGTGGGAGACCCTGTTGAGAGTGTTTGTCTGTGTCTCCTTTCTCTCTCTCTCTCTGTTTGCTTTTGGTTGTTTTGTTTTGTTTTTACCATAGGGTGCATGTGTTTGTTGGAGAGAGTCAAAGAGACGGAAAGTGAGAAATCACCCCTCGGGGAGATGGCCATGCTACCATCCCTTCCCCTCCATTCTCCTCTCAGGATCTTGTGCACACATGCACAAACCCAGCATGATTTTCAAGCCACCAAATCCAGGACTTGAGCAGAGATGGGCCATGTGGAAATTCAGCGTCTTCAATTCCACGCCATCTTCCTCTCCGTTTTTGTCTCTGTCTCATATTCATGAAGGAAAAAGATGAATAAACTTTAAATAATCGTAATAAAAATAATATATAATGGTCCCATCTGTGACAGTACGTGCTACTAAAATACTGTGCTCTGCAGGGTGGAACATATAAGAGTCCCAGGTTCAATTCCCAGGCTAACTAAAGCTTGGCTATGGCTGTGCTCACCTGTAATCCCAGAGATTCTGGGAGACTGAGGGAAGATGATTGCGAACCCAAGGCTGGTCTGGGCAACACTGGGTCTCTGTCTAGAGAAGAGCTGGGTGTGATGGTGTGCACCTGTGGTCCCCACTGGGACGCTGAGGCAGGAGGACTGTGACATGGCAAAACCCTCCTGAAAGAAAGGAAGGAAAGAAGGACCTAGCCCTAAAATCTCAAAGTATATCAAGACAAGTTGAGATGGAGGACATGAAAAGAGACCGAACCCATGCTAAATCCCCTATCTTAATAGTGAGCGCTCCAAACATACCGTTCACCTGTGACTGCGCTGTGGTATTTCTGACCTCCACTGGGAGTGGGCTGCTTCTCACGTGTCCCTGATTCCACTTTCTGGACATCTGTGGTCTCTGCGTGTTTCTGTGCTGTCAGTTATCGGCCTTGGCTGAGCCTGAAATGGATTTTAGGGACTCTGCCCTCCTCAGTGACTGCGCTGCTTCCCCTGCCTACAGTCCCCACCTGTAGGTATTTGGAAGGCCAACGGTCATCTTTAGTCTCAAACAATCACAGCCTATGTTAATCAGTGCAGATGGCTCTTTTGTCAGTGCATAAATTAACTCTCAAAAATTTGGCTTCTTATCTACCTGCTTCCAGGAGGCTCCAACTATGACTAGCCACAGCTAGGCCTTCTCTATGCATGCACAAGGACTTCAAAAAGTTTGTGGAGGGACCAGCAGTTAGCATAATGGCTATGTTGCTGGACTCCCATGTAGTCGCCCGTGGTTCGCGTCCCCGACCCAGTGGCTTAAAACTCACGCCAGGCACGTGTGCATGC